TCCCTCCAACTACTCTCCACACTCAGCAGATGACAGATTATCTTGAAATTGATGGCGTACTGCCTGTTATGCAATCTGGTTTACGCAAGGGCCACAGCACTACTACAGCTTTGCTTGAGATAATCTACTTGAGGCTCAAGATGAAGGTATGTGCTCAATTTTAGTGCTCTTAGATTTCTCCCGAGCATTTGATTCGATCCATCAGTCATTACTCCTGGCTAAGTAGGCATTCTATGTATTTGATGCTAATGCAGTCAAATGATTTGACAGTTATCTTACGGGAAGGCAACAATGTGTAGAAATCATTAAAAATAACGGTACTAGGATTCAATCAGCCCCCCCAGAATGTTACACGAGGCGTCCCACAGGGCTCGGTACTTGGGCCTGTTCTTTACACGCCACATTCTGCAGATATCGTTAAGAACATTAATCACTGTCACTACCACCTATATGCTGATGACCTGCAAATGTACCTTTCATTTATACCATCGCCAATAGGCCCTTTTTCAAGCTATTAATAAAATAAATTACGATTTAGAGGCTGTTTCTGTTTGGTCAAAATTAAATTCTTGGTTCTAAATCCTGATAAATCAAAGTTTATGTTAATAGGGTCAAAAAATGAATTGCTAAATTTGTAAATGTCCCAATAGTTTTAAAAATTGGAAACAATCCAATTGATCAAATCTCTGAGGCTAGAGACCTTGGCCTAAAGCTTGATAACCATCTGCGTTTCGAAGCACATGTCACAGAAAGTGTACAAAACTGTTTTTATAGATTAAAAATCTTATATAAAATCAGGCCATTTATAACAGAAAAAACAAGGATAAGACTATGCGAGTCTTTGATTTTGTCCAAATTAAATTACCTTGACGTAGTGTTTGGACCATGTCTATTAACCTTTAATCGTACCACGCTCGCCGTAACAAAAAACAGCTTTGTACCGGGGCCTCAGTCGTCACCTCAGCTGGCGGCACTTGTTATAAACATTTATATTTTTCACGACCTTTCATATATGTTTGAAGTGGTTTTAGTTACAGTTATTTGAAGCCGATAAGATTTTCGATAAGTAGAAACAATAACCATAATATTTAAATGTTTATTTTATTTTGTACAGCTCTTTGTTTCTAACGGATCTTGATAAAGTGTACTTACTGACAATAAATTTTATTTTATGAATGAAATATCATAAGTTTTTATTTTATTTTTATGTTCTTAAAATCAATACAACATATTCTTCCTAAATAAACCGAAATTATGCATGTAATAATTATAATAATTCTACTTTTTCACTTGCAAACATTTGCTAAAAATTCGACAATAGACAGTTTGCGCGCGCTTTGTAAACTCATTTTCAAAACCTTTTTGTGTATGTATTTTATAGCGTCTTCCTTTATTTTTCTTAATATGGTATATAACATTTAGCAATTTCTAGTAAAAGTATTTACTATGGTATTCCAATAAGAAATATACTATTATTATCTTATTAGAATCTTATTAAAAAACTTGACCGTTATGAATTGTTCGCGTAGAGGTTTTTTGTTTCTACTTTTTTATCAATTGAAACATAAAAAAGTTACTGTTCTTGTAACTTAAATCATTCAAAAACATTACGTAGTAAAGATAAATAACATTACTTACAGTTTTTTTGAAAGAAAATCCAACTAAAATCACAATCACAAACTTCAACGATTACGCAACTAACTAACCGCACAGTGCAAAATCGAATGGCTGTTTTATTTATTTGATTTTGTCTATGTAACCGAGTGAATATAATTCTTCAGAATACTCTTTAGTTCGTTCAGAATCGAATGAAATAGGGTTCAATCGAAAATATACTGTATTTTTATATCAATTAATGACGAAAATAGCAGACCGTAATGCGGACATGCGTACATGTCCTCTGTACTCAGCGGTCACAAAACGTGGACTGTCTCACATGTCCTCGGTACATGAGGGGGCGACTCAGAGACTCATACAGCGTGTACAAAATGCATGTGCGAGGTTCTGCTTTCACATACCACCACGTACACATGTTAGTCCTTTTCTCAATAATGCAGGCCTATTAAAAATGTCGTCGCGTCGAAGGTTACACCTTGCTACCTTATTGTTTGGAATAATTTCTTCAAAAACACCTCGTTACTTATATGACAAATTAATGTGGGTTAGCGAACAGTCAAAATATCGGAAACGTAAATATTCTAACGTCTTTGTTATTCCAAAATATAGAATAATGGCATTTAGAGGGTCCTTCAGGTATGCAGCTTCTCGCTGCTGGAACGATCTGCCTCCACCAATGCGTGCTTTAAAAACTATAGGAACATTTACAAAAGAACTATCAGCAATTTTAAAACAAGACCATAATCCTTAGTAATTTTAAAATTATTTTTTTTCACTTTTTTTGGTTTTACAGGCACATTAGGTCCTCTAATCAATGCTGCAAAAATTGCTGGATAAAACTTACTGTTTTTTTTTCCTCACTAATTTTTCAGTTTACTCACTGTTTTGTTTCTTTTTGTTTATGGTTTTTAAATCGTAAAGTCTTTATATTTTAATATACTATATGATTTTGAGCTGTTGACCACTTTATATTGTATATGTATGTACATTTAAATGTGTATGATGTATATACGTATGTATTGATGTATGTGATATGCAGGTGTACAGTTAACTTATACATTGTGTTATTAATACAAAATAATACCTCTTTTATACTGATTCATTCCCCATTCACTTCTCAGAATGGTTGTTTTAATTTTTTTTTTAATTTTTAGCTTTAAGTAATGTATGACCGTCCGTGAAGTGAATATTGGGCTCTATTTGAAAATCAGCGCTGCTGTCATTTAGTACAGCAGCAGTTAGCTGAAATAGGGGTCTAATTTGACTTCAAAAAAATCCATTTTATTTTTTATTGTAATATTACGAGTTTTTTTGTTTCTCTTTGTGATTTCAAATAAAGTTTTTCTTTCCTTCTTCTTTCTTTCTAAAAAAACTAAACAAAGTTTGTATGGAAAGGTAATTATAATATTTAGGAATACACAAAGGATAATATTCCTTCTATAATTTGTATAATATTATAATTGTACAAACTGTTATATATTTTTTACTAGATTTTGTTGTCTCGCTGGCTTTCTGGCTGATTTTTCCCAGACTAAACAGGAAAGATGTATTTTTAAACCTAGTGGTAAATTCGGTACATCCAATACAAGACAATGGTATAATAAAAAGCGCCAAGAAATATCTCAGTCATCTACGCAAATAACTAATGTACACGCCCTTAGTTGCCCCAACATAGGTCGACTGGACCAGGGCCCATGAGTGATCCCCTCGATGAGCAACCAAGGGCGGAGCCCTAGTGGCTCTTCTCGAGGCACAGAGTTCAACATTTTCCCGCAAAAGTAAAATTCTTATCAAGCTATCAAACGACGCACTAACAACTCGTCGATGCAATTAACTGCATAAAAGTTCCTTTAATCACTCCAAACTCAAATTAGGCCTCTTCTCACTCTAAACGAGACCCAAATATTCAATAGTAAATTCAAAATGGTGCGCACTATTATTCCAAATTGTAGGCCTTCAAGTCCAAACACCGGCCGCGCCCAACTGTCTAACGGTCGCAAACAATCATTGAGTTATACATATATAAATCAATGCAAACAATACTCAAAACTGATACAACAACAATTATATGATCTGGCCTCGTTATCAGGAAAAGCAAATTAAGATAACACTTTAAGAGGCTCGCGACGGACCGCCGCGTAACGATGTTTATTACATCCTAGGAGAGTAGGCCGCGGCGTGGCGGACACACCACTCCTCAAGCCGCTTGGCACATTACAGGGCAGTGGTCACGGCACAAGGCTTCGGGAAGCGGCCTACGGCCGACCCACCCTCCCCCTCGGCGGCCTTTACCTCACCTCGATACCATCGGGTGAACGCGCTAAGCGCGCGTATCGGATGCAATTTCAAATGCCCATTATTGGCCTTAACAGACCCCCGTCCCGGACATAAGGACTTATCTCCGCGAGCAAATTGGCAAAGGGGATAGGGCCGCGACGGCGCGTTGCAAGACTGAATCTCCAATCAGATCTCGGCTACCCTAGGTACCCTATCAGATCTTGCAACCTTAACCACCGCCTCAAAAATACAAGCCGGAGGGCCGAACCTCCACTGAATGCCCTTGCTAGACATCGCAGTACCTAAATAAGTCCTGCTACTCTTTCAACATCCATCCGATTTCTATTCATACTTCTACTCGCCCCGTTGTACGCGCACAACTCGTAAGGCCCAAGAACATTTTTGCTTAGTTTAGATAACGACCCGAAGGTCCTTTTAAAAGGATCAAATTTTATTGATGTTCAGACCCAAACAAAAAGATGCAATATTTTCTTTTGCTGCAGTTTTTATTTTAAATATAGTTTATTAGTGTCTTTATAACGTACCAAAGGACCCATTTGTAAAGTGCAGACCTCATATCTTTGGTTCTTTGTAAAGAGTTTGCCTTTGGGTTAATATTAGATAAGTAGGTACCAAAAATTTACACTATCTGTAGGACTTTGGGTTCTAACGATATAAATAAAAACACAATTTTTATGAAAAAAAAAATCAACATTTATTACAGATTTAAATAATAATACTCTTCACAAGAAGAAGATAGTGAATGCATGACATGGCTAAAGTTATGCCAATATATATATATATATATATATATATATATATATATATATATATATATATATATATATATATATATATGCAATTCATTGGTAGTGAGATCAAGGCACTTGCCATATTTTGATAAGAAAGTTTGATTATTTTTCAATACTATTAGCTTCATTATTTCGTCATCGATATAGAGCTTAAAGTAATCAAATTTATCGGTAGATGAATCTCAATCGGTAGATATGAAGGTTCTATACGCGAAATAACATGCGGATTAAAATTCTTCATTGACCACTCACATTGTCTTGGCACATCAGATGAAGGCACGTTCCTATTATTGGTTACCCTTCGCGATGTAATTCCGCGTAAACGTCGCATAACTCCACGTTGTTGCATGCTTTTCTTTGTAATGAAGGTGCGAGAGTCATATCTTCATCGGAAAGTTTGGACTGAGAATCTGAATTACTTGATTCCAATTCCGATTTCTTGACACTCGAGGATAACCCACTAGAAATGCCTGCCATCAGCCCATCATCAATTTCATTGATATCAGCTGCTTCATTTTCAAATTCTGAATCAACAAGTAAATCAACTATTTGTTGGTTATTTACTCCCGAAAAAAAAGTGTTTTTTTTTGTTAATTAAATATAGACTAGAAGCAACAATAATATTTGGTACCTACCTAAATAAATTAAAAAAAAGTATTTTAATTTAACTCATTAACTTAACGTGCACTTCATCTTAAGTTAACATAATAACCCAAAGATCTTTGTATAGGTCTAAAATAATACGGGTTTTTTGGTATGAAAGCCCGCGGTACTTATTAAAGTATCAAAAAGTTTGGTTTAATTAAATGTATCATTTTCGATAATAAAATGAAAAAGTATTTAATATAATTATGGAAACATATAGCCACGCATATTTTTGTATAATAAACCGTGCTGATAAGACTGATCACAAGGATAAAGAAAGATTTACTCACTGTGTCTTCTAAAGTCAGCCATCGTGTCGAAAAAAGAAATGGCGTCACGAGATCAATTTTTAAACCAATAATTACGACTTTCGGTAACAGATTAAATAGGTCTTCCAGGTTCGTCTTAAATGTCAAATATATATTTGGCGGTCCATTTGAATTCGAAAAACGTGATTTTAAAATTGAACCTTTTTTAAAGGACTTGGGCCTGCATGAAGAAGTAATCATATTTGATGCTGGGTCTGAACACACATATTATTTATTCCTTTAAAAAGGACATGGGCCTTAGGAGGTTAATCTATATCGAACATGAAGCGATTTCCTCTCGGGTCACACATTCTTAGCGTTTAAAAACTCAAAGGGGCCTCTTGTCACTTAAAGCACGAGAGACAATCAATAAGAGGCGTTTGTCACGCGGCCGAGCGCTTCGCACGTAACCGTCATACTTTAAGAGTAGCTTTCCAAACATGCAGTTTTATGCTTATGCTTCATCCAAGCCTCAAAGCATCAATACTCAAACTACCATGCAACCTTGAAACAAACTATTACAAACTTATTGCCCGATGCGCATTGACGAAAACAGATAAATTCAGCAAACGATAAACTTAAAAGATAACCATATTCCCTTTTTTTCCAAAATAAATATTTTTGACAATGCCAACAAAATGTGAAAACAAAAGGAGGATTAATTTTTATTTCCTTCGGCACAAATAGTTACTCAATTTCAATTTTCTTTTCAACAAAGCAAACATAATGACCAAATATATTTACAAAAACGTATGTACACGTATTCAAAGAGTATTTCAAATTCACCTTTTTTACTCACAACCGCTACAACTGGGAAACATTTCGCGGAAAACCCAAAGCAATTTATTTTCTCAAAGCATTCAAATCTCCAGGTGAGCCCTAGTCTCCCCAACAACCAAGTGGAGGCAGCCATGGTGGGAGCTAGGGCTCAGCTACCTAGCTGGAACTGCCTCCATCGGCCAGGCACTCGAACCGGAGGTCCCGAAAACAGCATTCCGGCGGCATCTCAACGACCCGTGGTTGGAATTCACCAAACGGGCCGACCGGGGGAGCTTCGGGAAAACTCGGCCTTGAGGCCCGGGACAAATTCTATGTTGCAGGAACCCCGTAGTACCAGTACCGACCATAGGTGGGAGGGTGGTACTCTAGTCGCGGCCTCTCAGCCAACGGGGTGAGAAGGGTCTCGCTGACCACTGAGTGGCTGTGAAGTTCCTCTCCAGACGCTGAGGGGGGAGTTACGAAGCCAGAATGGTCCCCCCCCCCCCGACTGGTCGGGGGGAAGGACCCGCTTCAAACCCAGGGGCACGGTGGCCGGCAGGGGGAGCGACGAGCGTCGCCCGACAGAGGGCGTGGCTGAACGCCCCCCCCCCGGAGGTTGAGGACCGGCAGAGCCCCGAGAGGAAGCGCCATTCCCACCCAGGCACAAAACGGCATGGTGATTGCCCTGGCAGTGCGGACAGGGCCGCTGGTGCGGGCAGTCTCGTTGAAGATGCCTTTGCAAACACGAGTAGCACCAGCGACGCTCCTTGGCTATGGTTCGTCTGGCTGGGACCGGCTTACTCAACAATTTCGGGCACAACGTCACCCGGTGATCGGATGCTCGTGCGATGGCATCACTACTAAATACTAATTACCATCAAATCCCCCCAATTGTGCTGAGGACGTGTGCTCCAGAGTTGGCACCGGTTTTAACGCGTTTTTTCCGGTACTCCTACTCCCTAGGCGTAGTCCCAAAATCATGGAAGACGGCTTTCGTCCACCCGATCCCTAAAAAAAGGCGACCGCTCAGACCCGTCCAACTACCGGCCTATCGCCATCACCTCCTTGTTCTCCAAAACAATGGAGTCCATTGTAAACTGCCAGCTCATGAGGTACCTTGAGGATCACCAGCTGATTAGTGACCGCCAATACGGTTTTCGCCGTGGTAGGTCAGCTGGTGATCTTCTGGTCTACCTAACTCACAGATGGGCGGAGGCAGTAGAGTCCAAGGGGGAGGCATTGGCCGTTAGTTTGGACATTGCGAAGGCCTTCGATCGGGTTTGGCAAAAAGCGCTTCTTTCGAAGCTCCCTTCCTATGGGCTTCCCGAGAAATTGTGCGATTGGATCACCAGTTTTCTTGCAGATCGGAGCATCAAGGTCGTTGTAGACGGTGCAAGCTCCGATTGCAAGCCTATTAATGCTGGTGTTCCACAGGGCTGCGTGCTATCGCCAACGCTGTTTCTTCTGCATATCAATGATATGTTGCAGACCCGTAACATTCATTGCTATGCAGATGACAGCACTGGTGATGCTCTTTACACCGGCCGAGCCAATATTTCTCGGGAAAACGTCTCCGAGTGCCGGGACAAACTTGTGTCTGAAGTCGAGTCTCTGCTGGACAGAGTCTCGGATTGGGGGCGACTAAATCTAGTCCAGTTTAACCCCCCAGAAGACACAAGTTTGCGCGTTAACCGCTAAAAAGAACCCCTTTGTCGTATCCCCTCAGTTTCAAGGCACTCCCCTTGTTGCCTCAGCCAGTATCGGAATCCTCGGCGTCGACATATCGAGTGACGTGCAGTTTCGTGGTCACTTGGAAGGGAAGGCCAAATTGGCCTCTAAAAAGCTTGGCGTGCTCAGCAGAGCGGGACAGTATTTCATGCCGGCACACCGCCTGCAACTTTACAAGGCGCAGGTTCGGTAGCACATGGAATACTGTTCCCATCTCTGGGCTGGGGCTCCCCAGTACCAGCTCCTTCCACTTGACCACATCCAGCGCAGAGCGGCTCGAATCGTCGACGACCGAGTGCTTTCCGATCGGCTCGATTCTCTGGCACTGCGAAGAGATGTTGCATCCCTTTGCATTTTCTTTCGCATATACCATGGAGAGTGCTCTGAGGAATTGTTCGGATTAATCCCAGCCGCCAAATTTCGTGAACGCACTACGCGGCAAACGTCCCGATACCATCCACACCATCTGGATGCTTGGCGGTCCACCACTGTACGTTTCAAAAGGAGTTTTCTTCCGCGTACAACCTCTCTGTGGAATAATTTACCACCAGCGATTTTTCCGGACCGATACGACCTGGGGACCTTCAAGAAAAGAGCTTACTCCTTTCTAAAGGGCCGGCAACGCGTCTGCAATTCCCCTGGTGTTGCAGTTGATCATGGGCGGCGGTAGTCACTTAACATCAGGTGAGCCACATGCTCGTTTGCCCCCTCTTCTATAAAAAAAAAAATGAAATTCAATACAAATTACTACAAATACAAATTACTATTTATCATATTAAATACAAAATACACTACAAATACAAGTACACACTACGGTCGGTCAACAAAGATGCCTCGCTCGGTGACCGACCCTTCGGCAATTAATCTACCATAATTATACGATAGAGATATAATTATCCACCTTACCCGACGCGTCGGTACCTAAACTAAACTACACTCCCGCTTGCACAGCCTAGAGGGCATGGTCTCTAATTCTACCCACCGCTAACAACAAAGTAAGCGAACAAAGAAAAAGAAAAGAAAAAAACGTTGTGCCGGGAGTGATTGTAAACAATCAACCACGCTCTGCTACCAGAAATTGTACACGCCCTTAGTTGCCCCAACAAAGGTCGACTTGACCAGGGCCCACGAGTGGCCTCCTCGACGAGCAACCAAGGGGGGGAGCCCTAGTGGCCTATGGATAATTAAATTATAACAGCTAGATACGCAAACATAAAACTTACCGAATTGCGGAGGTGGGGTTGGGTGACCACAGGGTACCTGTCAGGTGATAAGTGATGTGCATGTAAGTAGTGTGTAGTAATGTGTACAATGTGTAACCTGACAACCCCGCTGATCCTGGACTGCAGATTCCAAGGCGCTGCTCTCTCCAAATGTGGGATCCATCCAGGGGGGCGTTCACCAATTGATAACTTCTGCTTCTATTTTCACTATATTAGTTTACCAACTTTATTGTACATTTAATTAACTTCAAATTCAACCAAATCAACGTTAATCGACATTAAAACAAGTAACACGCTGCACAACTTAAGGACGGTTGGTCAAATTTCAAGTACCCAGGTTCACTTAGCACAAAACTATAACCAATAGAACGAACGCGATCTCTCCTCGAGGTACAAAGTTCAGCGTTCTCCCGCCAAAGTAAAAGTCTTATCACGCTATCAAACGACGCACTAACAACTCGTCGATGCAATTAACGGCATAAAAGTTCCTTTAATCACTCCAAACTCAAATTAGGCCTCTTGTCACGTAACACGTTCAAAAGAGACAACTATATTCGAGGCGATCTAAACGCAACCCAAATATTCAATAGTAAATTCAAAATGGCGCGCACTATTATTCCAAATTTTAGGCCTTCAAGTCCAAACACCGGCCGCGCCCAACTGTCTAACGGTCGCAAACAATCATTGAGTTATACATATATAAATCAATGCAAACAATACTCAAAACTGTTACAACAACAATTATATGATCTGGCCTCGTTATCACGAAAAGCAAATTAAGATAACACATTAGGAGGCTCGCAACGGACCGCCGCGTAACGATGTTTATTACATCCTAGGAGAGTAGGCCGGCGTGGTGGACACACCACTCCTCAAGCCGCTTGGCACATGACAAGGCAGTGGTCACGGCACAAGACTTCGGGAAGCGGCCTACGGCCGACCCCTCCCCCCCCCCTCCCACCGGCGGCTTTTACCTCACCTCGATACCATCGGGTGAACGCGCTAAGCGCGCGTAAAATTTCAAATGCCCATTTTTGGCCTTAAAATATGAAGATAGTTTACTCTTGCCGTCTAGTGCATTACATACAGACACGGATTTTTTTTACGGATGATCACTTGAACCTGCAACGGCAAACCACGAAGTTTCAACAAAAATTTAAAAAGGTTTTAACAAATTGAAACATTCAATAAACATATTCGTAAGTTGGAACTGAAATTGAATAATTTGAATTCATCACGTTCACAATCCTGTTTTAAATTAACTCCTACTTGCTAAGAAAAACGATAATAGGAA